TGCCCAAGCTGCAGCAGAGTCTGATCCTGGATAAGCTTTGTCAGCCATCTTTGGACTCATAGATAAAGCAGTCATGGATGACAACCATCCTCAGCTGCGAGGGACTGCTCATGATGATGATGTCTTTTAGTTCATTTTCACTTACAAGAATTGACCATTGCTCTAAAGATAAAAAAATTCCAGAGCTATCTAATACCTCAAATATTTGCTTTCCACATCTCTCTTTTCTCTCACCATCTCTGGAAACTGAAAGAATCCATTGCTATTTTGATGAGTCCTTGCTGAACTACTTATTTGTACCTTAATCACTTCCCTTCATGCTCATTTTCTTTTTCCTCAATATCCTGAGTACAGAATGCTATAGTTAGACTACACTTTCCAAGCAGCTGGGTTGTATGCATCAATTGATGTCATATCTATTACAAAATCTAACTAAAAACGTTGTTTATCAAAAAAATTAAACACGAATTCATTCCACCCATCATCTCTAGCTTTATGTCCAGCTCCTTTGTAAGCTATTTGCTCTGCTCTTTCAGTACTGGCATCCTTTCTGTTCCCTTCTCATAATTCTCTATTGTTTGTCTCATGTTGTCCAATGTAAACAGACTGCTAAGATTTGAATGCATTTTTAAATGCAGTGTATATGGGTCTTTTACTTTTTAGAATGCTCTGACATTTCTGCTACTGAAAATATAATAATATCAATATTAAGTACCATCCAAAAGCTGAACTTCTTTCAATTGTTTTCTGGGCAGGAGTTTTAGTTGTTCTGGCACAAGTGTCTGAGAAATGTTCAGTTCTGGGGTGCTGACAGTCTGAGACCCAACACTAATATTGAATGAATGAGCACATGATTTAATGAACACATTAGCAAATGGAAAAGAGTTAAGAAGAGTTGTAACCAAAAGCTGTGGAAGGATGAAGTTATACGCTGCACTTAGACCAGGGGTGTCAAACTCATCTGGTCCTGTGGGCCAGATGAGTGATGCAGGGTCAAGTACATAGGCTGGATGAATGGTGTGGAGCTGGAACCCATGGGCTGGATAGGGCCCTCAGACCCCCTTTCCCCTCCTTCCAGTCTAGATCCCAGCAAGAAGAGGCCTGGCACCATGGGTATCTGACTGTTGCCGCAAGAACTAGCCATTAGAGGTGCACCAATAAATCAATCTGATATCAGATCGGTACCAATATAAAGAAAACTGGCTGTATCAGATATCAGCCTGATGGGGCTAATAATTTGGCTGATAAATACCAGTAGTGCGCGCACCTGCAGCGCAGTACTCAGGCAGCAGGGAGCACAGCTGGCAGGATTGAGAGCTGCCTCCAGCTGGTAAGTCCAATGTAGTGGAAGGGGATGGGGAAGGGAAGGGACATGGAGTGTGTATGTGTGTGTGGGGGATCAATGCCCCCCATGGTGAGGGAGGGGGCAGGGGTAAGGGCACTGATCTGCCCCCTGCCATGCCCCTTCCCTTCCCCCTCCCCTTCCACCACACTGGACTTACCAGCTGGATGCAGCTGTATCAGAAATTGGATCGGTATTGGCCAACATGCCTCAATAAATATTGACTATTGGTATCAGCTCCCAAACTCTCTATCAGTGTACCCTTACTAGCCATGGCACCAGGGTCCTTTGCTCGGTATTACTGGGGCTGCAGCACTACTGCAAATTCCTGTGCTGAAGCCTGGGTCAGCTCTGTAAGGTTTAGGCAGGCTTCTGCTCTGCAGCCCTTGTTAAGTGCACTGGCGCAGTTACTACCAATCAAGGCCAGATGATCCCTAGCTCCTTCCCAGAGCTGCATTTATACAACTCCTCCAGCACCTGAACTTTGCTGCACAACACACTGGTCTTCAGTCTCTGAGTAGCTCTTGTCCCAACAACTTCTCTGACTTCCCTTGTTCCTGACCTTGCCTTTGGTTTGCTCCTGGATTCTGGCCTTTGGATTTTGCCTGCAGACCTCTCTAGTATCTCTCTCTTCTGTTTACAAAAAAAATAAATGTATGGTTTTGTCCAGTGCAAAAAAACCACTGGCTGTAATACATACAAAAGGCAATTACAAATGTTGCCTGCAGACTGGTTTACTGTGTCCTATTCTGGGCACTGCACTTCAAGACGGATGTGGAGAAGCTTCAGAGAGTCCAGAGAAGAGCCACTTGTATGATTAGAGGCCTGAAGAGCAAGCTATATGAGGAAAGGCTAACAGATACAGGACTGTTCAGTCTAGAAAAGAGAAGACTTTGGGGGGATTTGGTGGCAGCATACAAATATATCAGGGGTGAGCATCAGGGGCTAGGTAAACAATTATTCACCAAAGTGCCCCAAGGGAAAACCAGGAGCAATGGTCAAACTCCTAGAAGAAGGTTTCAGACTGGATATACGGAAAAACTTCTTCATGCTTCATGTGACCAGACTCTGGAATAGACACCCAGCATGGGTGGTGCAGGCACCTACCCTGGAGATCTTCAAAAGGAAACTGGAAGCACACCGTACTGGAGTTATTTGACCCCAACAGTCTTTGATGCCCAGAGCAGGGGGGCTGGACCTAGTGATCTCATGAGGTCTCCTTCCAGACCTAAACTTCTGTGAATCTGACTCCTAAGCCTGGCTTGGCTTTGGGCTCTTGGACTTTGCCCTGTGGATTATCCTTCCGACTTGGTAACTGGGTTTCTGATTCCCAGGTTCTAGATTCATAGATTTCTGGGGTCGGAACGGACCAATTAGATCATCAAGTCTGACCCCCTGCTCTGGGCAGGAAAGAGCACTGGGGTCAAGTAACCCAAGCCAGATGTTGTCTAATCTCCTTTTAAATGCCTCCAAGGTAGGGGAAAGCACCACTTCCCTTGGAAGCCCATTCCATATTTTGGCAACCTTCATTACAAACATTTTTTTTTCCTGATGTCCAATCTAAATCTGCTCTCCTTCAGTTTATGGCCATTGTTTCTAGTAACCCCAAGGGGTGCCCTGGTAAACAGAGTATCCCCTATTCCAGGGGCGGACAATTATTTTGGGTGGAGGGCCGCTTACTGAGTCTCGGCAAGCCATCAAGGGCTGCATGACAGGCAGTCAGGGACAGATAAATATTAATTTTCTAAATTATTTAGGGGCCCCATGGGCTGGACAGAATGGCCTGGTGGACCACATCTGGCCCATGGGCTGTATTTTGTCCACCCTTGCCCTATTCCTTGCTGACTCCCCACCCCCCAATGAGATTGTAGTCACAAGATCAACTCTCATCCTTCTCTTGCGGAAGCTGAAGAGATTCGGACCCTGGCTTGGCATTTTGGCTCCTGACTTGTGACCCTTACCCCTGCAACCCCTACTTCCCGCTTGGCTCTACTCAGTAGGCAGGCTGACCTGGTGGACTTCAGCAGCTTCACTACTTGCTGGGGTGCTTGACTACAGCCACAGCAAGGTCCCCCTCCCCATCAAACTTATGGGCTGGATTGATCTGGCCTGTGGGCCATATATATGGCACCCCTGACTTAGAACATATTCCCCAGAGCAGGGAAATAGCCCAGGTATCCTGGCTCCTAGTCACACCCGTGCTCACCAGCCCTCCAGTGGGAAGCCAGAGCTGAGCAAGCAAGAAATGGTATTAACGCTTAATGTGTGACTGCTCACAGCATATTCTCACTTTAATGCCACTTAACATTCCACAGATTTCAGATGAGCCTGAGAGCAGTGTATCCTGGGATGCTACAGGACTGCCAATTGCTCCTTTTATCTCTGTGGAACAGACTGAAGTTACATTAAAATGAGCTTGGTAGCACAGCCCAAAGGTAACCCTTGCCTGGAGTGGCACAACTTTGAGATGGTTAGAGGGCACTTAGCACAAGTTAGCAAGATTTAATGCGCAAACACTTGTGTTTTAAGTGCCCTTTGCATGGTCTAAGTGGAACTTCACCTTAAGACTCTTCTATTAAAATATCTTTGTGTTTCAGGCAAGCATATATTTACTTACCCTTACCAAGTTTTTCAGGGAAGGACATTTGAGAGCATCCAGAAAAATGCTTTAATTTATATTTTGCAACTACATTTTCAGTGAATTTAGTTCTCAGTGAAGTTCTGAATGAAGTCATGGGCCTAAAGCATTCTACTTTTCTGCCAAATGGACAGTGACAGTGCATGCACTGCAGCCATACTTAGATAACAGTCCCAAGTTTAAAGCGGGTTTCAAACTGACCCTTTCTAAATAAGCCAACCAAAATGGAGCAAGACTCCAGCATATAACTCCTTCATTTGCCAGTGGTAGAGTCTGCACCAAATCCAAAATGCAGTCCGCCCAGGAGGTTGGACAGCCTGAAGTGCATGTGTATTTCAGCGTTGCTCCCTCTGCCTGATAAGAAGGAGCACAGTATGGCTGAAACCTTACCAACTCCCCAATACTAAGGATTGGATTTTAGAAGAAGGAATGAAGAGACTTAATTCACAGTCTAAAGCAGAGATGTAACAGGGCAGTTCTATGTCCTGGGCAGTGGCTCCACACAAGGCAGCCGTGGCTGCCACAGGCAGGGGGAAAGCCAACTGCCACCCGCCGGGGAAAGGGCAGCCGTGCCTGCCACTGGCAGTGGCAAAGCCAACTGCCAGCTGCAGGGAGGGCTATTTTTGCACACTCCAGTTGCCCTGCTCAGTTATGCTACTGATCTACAGTGACTTTAAAGCACTTATACAGCTATAGTCCTGAGCTTCTTCCAACATAGGAGACAACAGCTATAAAGTTCTATAACTTTGTATTCCCTGGGAAATTTTCATTTTAAAAATTACTAATAAAGTTGGAAACATTCTGAAAAAGAGATCAATGAAACATATGACTATGGTCCGATTTATTCTTGCAAATTACATTTTAATAGAACATTATTTTACATTTCAAATGATGATGAATTCCCAAAGATGCACTGCACAGCTCAAATATGGTCAGTCTCAACATGCCTGCAAACATCCCACTACTTTCCAATGGATGTGACTTTAACATGAAAATACAAAAATGAAAACAAAAACTTACCTTCTCACCTGTGTTACCAGGTGGACCTAGTAAACCAATTGGACCCGTGTCACCCTGTGCAACACAATAAAGTAAAAACATTTTATTTTACTAGAATATTTTTAAAAGATTACGAACACCTGAGATACAGTACATTTTTCTTTACTCTTGGACATTTATGATGAAAATGACAAATGCTTTGTGTTATAGGGTCCCCAAATAGTTGCATTTTAGTCATCTTTAGTGGGTTTGAAGAAGTTACATAAGTCTAGGGCTATACTTTTGCCTAGGGTGAATTGCACTTTAAATAAGTATCTGCATCCTTGCTATGTATTCTTTGCATTTTTGTAGTTCCCGGGAACCTCAATCGTGGATCAGAGCTAACACGTGTTAGGCAGTGTACAAAACAAATGGATGGTCCCTGCCCCAGTGAGCTGGCTATCTATATGCATGACAGGAGACTAGGGACTGAGACAAACAGATGAGGGGGAGAAACAGAGACAAGAAGACAATGTTAGCAATAGTCTTGGCAAATCAGCAACTAAACTATTGTCAGGTATTTTGTCCTTGGCTATGAAGCCTACATTTTAAGGAAGAGAGTTTTAGGAGTCAAAGAACTTTCAAGTTGATTTAATTAGGTCTGTTTTCCAATATTTTCATGACAAATTTCTTGCACTAGGGAAAATGTTTGTCACTTTTAGTTCCATACAAATCTGCAAGCAACAGAAAACTATATATGGGGTTTATGTGGCGAGTATTCCACATACTTTAAATATGCGTGGAAACAGAATATTGGAAAATTTTCTCATTTAGCACCATGGACCAAATCCAGAGACAATATGGGATGACATAAATTTAGATTCAGACTCTCAAAGACCTGCTTGTATCTGCATAATGATATGAGCGAGTAAATGTAAGAGAATCCTTTCCATGCCAAGGGATTGGGAAAAAGTGCAAGATGGAAGCATATGTGTTCTTAAACTATCACAATTTGCTTTTTATGTTCAACTCTTCTTTTATGGCTTTTCAACTTCTGAGTTTTATTAACCTGAGGAATCCTATAGAATCAGTGGGCCAGATTCAAATGTGATGTGTCAGAGTGCTCCATCTTGGAAATTGGTCTAGGAGAAGACAGATGCAATGGTTATATCAGAATCCAATGATACCAGTAGAACCTGTTACAATGCAACTGTTATGTCTGCATAACAAAAAATGTTGGTTTGTACAGCAAAAGTAAACTCAAACTGTTGTAACAAGGTTTAAATTACAGTGATTTAGCTCACTTAAACAGCTATAAATACACATATCTTTTACAGATTTCTGTAACAAGAATATAAAGTCAGGATTTTTGCTACATTTTGCAGTTACTAAACGTGTTACAATAGTTTGTCTCCTGACAAGTTTTCATAATAAGGCTTAACATAAAAACTAAAGAGTCTAAAGATACAACTCATAGTTATATAATTTAGGATAAATACAAAGCGTTCTTAAAATAGATAGCATTAGTTAATGCATTATAACATAAACCTGATATTAAATTTTCAGTATTAGCACATTGGTTTTAAAGTGTTAGCCATAATCAATAGATATGCAGTCCAAAAGTGAAGTAATCATAAGTCTCCAACCCACAGCTGCCACAAAGAACCGCTCTATATGTTTATACTGACAAATATTTTAGCAAGACATAAAATACCCAAATAGTTCAACTATGGAAGCTTATTGTGAGAATCCTACTTAATATAAACTGGAAGTGAAAATCTTTGATTTCTTACTGTCAAGTTATCTGATCTTGCCACCATAAAATACTCTTACTGCCTCTTTTTAGAGCTGAATGACCCTTCATTCATAAGCGGCTGCCTTTTGCTGCCTTCACGTCACTGGGGTAGTGTAACAGATAGAAATGTTTCTGTACTAAGGGCTCATCTAGTCAGGGAGCAGGCTCAGAATAGTTGTTGATGAGAAGTTTCTTTTATGACTATTCTTATTCCACTCCAGGAGTGACTTTTTGCAATTTAAGTCAATCTTTTTTATCCTACAATATCTAATCTGGAAAAGATACACCTAGTGCAGAATAACAGGATTCACTGAATGATTAAATTCAGAATACCCTAAAATTCATATCCTTGCTATTTTGTACTAACTTCTCTCTGAACTCCCTGCGCACACAAGTCCTAAATGGTGTAATATTTAGCTGTAACCTAAAAAGTAACGGTCAAGATCTGGCTGTAGTTGCATCCCTATTATTTATCAATCCAGTTTGCTCTATTTGAAAATAAGAATGTTTTTCTCCTAGCAGCCCACCCTTCAGTCTCAATCTGAAATCAGAAAAGAAGGTTGGCTTCTTGGAGAGTGCACCATATCAAAATAATATTCTGCCCCTAGCCACACCTGAATAAACCCACTGCAATTTAGGTAACAGTTTTCCAGATGATGTGAAAACTGGCCTGGAGAAAATAGCTATTTTTCTCCTCACTAAGGAGTATAGATAAGATTTTGAATGAGGAAAAGAAGCAGAACTGCTTAGTTGGGAGTCGTTTTTACATTTCTGTTTCAAATCAGAATTTTTCTCTGAGCGTGGTTCTTTCTTCACTCACATTGGTTTTACACATTTACTGATTTAAGCAGGGTCACTCCTGATTTAAGTATGTAAATAAGAGCATAGTCACAATAGTTATGTTTCAGCTACAGAATGCTTTTTGCCTTTTTGAAGAGGCTTACTTTATTGTAGTGCACTAAAATCCAACTCCCATATATCCATTAGCCATTCTTAGAAAAACGAATGTCAGAGAAACACCAGACACAGGATTAATCACTACAACATATAAAAAGCAGTGGTCATACTGCTTCCTATCATGACCATTAATTGAAAAGTAGAGATTAAAATTCACACAACACTTAAAAAGATTAGACCCATCGATACAGAGGGCCAGGGAATAATCATAATATTGGTCTTTAAATGAGAATGGATTACCTTTTCTCCACGTTTTGCTTGTCCTGGGGAAAATCCTGGATCTCCTTTAGGGCCCTATATCAGATAAATTAAATCAGTTAATATAATACAAGAATAGAGGAATGTTTTATTTCATAGCCAGCTTCAAAATGTTCACAGCTGAAGCAATTTGAGGGGGGGAGAGGTCTAACGGTTATGTAAAAAAAAAAATTCTTATTCCAGATATGCTTTCCAATTTTAATGTGTGACACTGCATGATATAACACAATAATCCAAATTTATCTGAGTATAATTTTTTCCTGTATTTTTTCACATTGCACCTGAAGTCTATTTGCTAAAAAGCCAAAATTTAGTTGCAAATGCAGAAGAGGTCCTTGCCAGTCCCATTCTAGTGTCCTTTAAAGCCTTTCTTGATATATAGGCAATTGCTTGCAATGTTTCATTCATTAGTTTTTACCTGAAAAAACAAAACTGATTAGGTTGTCCTCAAGGTGTAAGACAGGAAATAATTTTCCATTAAGACCAATGCTAAGTTGTCCATTTTTTACTTCTAAGGACTTTGGATTTATCTGTGTTACAATGTAAATGCTTCTAAAGGGGAAAGTAAGGTATAATTGGCAGGCAAAGAACTCCTTTTTGTGAAAATAGATGGCAAAAACCTACAGAAGAAATTTAACAGATTTTGCAATAGAAGAGTACTGATTTTTCATAATGAAAACATATTAGTATGGGTTATGCACCACATTTTCATATATTTCTGTATTCCCACTTCACTAAATTCTGCCGTGCACACACTTG